CGAGGACGGCGGGCGGCGCCGGCGGGCAGGGACATGGCCACCGACCACGCCTAGGGTTCGTCAAGTTGGGGGAAGGGCGGCGGACAGGTTCGGTCCAAACTCCTGGTTGTGAGTAGCGCACGCACAGCCAGCGAAAAGGCACTGGCCTGGGCGGTTGGGCTAGTTGGCCTAGGCTGCCTGGGATTAGAGTGGGCTGCGCCCCAGGCCAAACATTTTTTCCGTATATATGGGCTGAGAAAATTTCCCACGCCCCAGGCAATGGCCTGGGCTGCCTGGGGCCCAGATCCGCCCATGGAGGTAGGGATCATTTACTCTATAAAATTTGATCAAAGTCAAACTACACAAAGTTTGATCAAATTTGTATAAAAAATATAAACATCTACAATACTAAAACTATATAGTATACATTTCATCGGATATTGTCTTTGGAGGCCGAGCTCCATGGAGCTCGGTTTTGAAAAATTTGAATTTTGTTGAATTTCATATTTTCTACATTTCAAAAAATTCTGAAAAAAAACACACATATATATGAAGGCCTAACACACACGTGTGTAAATTTTCAGGGCAAAATAAGTTGAAATGAGGGCTGTGCAAAAAAGACAAATCTGAGGCTTTTTAACACATGACACTATTCATCCTCCCGGACCAGGAATTTGTCTTTTTTGTATAGGTCACATTTCAACGTTTTTCATTCTGAAATTTTACACACATAGGCATAACATACTTGTTTACTTGCACAATTTTTTTCAGATTTTTTTGAAACCGAAAAGTTTGAATTTTGATTTGTTTTCAAAAAAAGGCCTCCATGGCTCCCGGGAGCCAAACGTCCGTTCTCTTTCATTTCATGATGCATCTAATAATATTGATTTCATATTGTGAATGTTGATATTTTTTAATATAAAATTATCAAACTTTACAAAGCTTGACTTTGACCAAACTTTATACGTAGACTACAAAGAAATGGAGAGAGTACATAACAATATTACGCACATCCTCCCGGTCCACCATAAAAGAACTTTCCATGAGACACAGGAGCAATCGAGTAACATTTGGCAACGCTGGGCAAGTCTTCCATGATAGGCTTGCCAGTCCCATCCACATCAATAGTTTGCATGTCGCTAAAGGATGCAGCGTGGCCTTGGCCATCATTTGGTGAGGCACCACTGCCCAACGGAGGTGTTGGTTGCGCCCTGTCAACGCTCACATAGGCACCAAACGAGACCGTGTTTGCAATTTTTGCTAGGTTTGTGAACAATGAGCTTGGGTAGTAGCCCACAGCAGTAGGGACACTATTGAAGCCGTAGTACACCCACCAATCTCCACTTGTCTTCTCCTAACAGAAAAAAAAACTCCATCACTAAAGCACAAGAATAACCCTCCCCTCTCATACGACACTTCACTGTGAACGAGGACTTCAATATTGTTTCATGTCATTGCTGTATAAATTAATATTCTAGTTGCGTTTCATGAGAATTTGTCATCGCAGAAATAAAATAACAAAAATGCGTTCAAAACTACATGAACAATTCAGCAAATTTACCTTCAACAATTTTAGAGTGACATTTTGTAGGCTCCCACCATTGAGATCGGAAACTGGATCTATGATTGCACCTAGACTCACTGTAGCACCTTTTGCTGTTATGAAACCAGGGCAATCCCTGTTGAAGCACCCGGTTGTTTCATATCCATCCCTCTGTGGCATAAATACTCACATGTTAGTAAGTGAAACTATATGCTTTATCCAGGGTTAACTTCAAGATACTAATGCAAAAAATTAATATTACATACCGTCCAATAGGCAAACAAGTGAGTACGAGTGTCGCCATAGCGTTCTGGGTGAATCTGCACAAAGGCTACAAATAAGGAAAACATAGCCTCGCATTCAAAAGTAAACTATGGAGAAGACGAGACAAAGCAACCTAAAAAATGAGAAAATGTCCCATGACAATATTCTTCTTCCTAGTTTGACAACCGATGCATAGTTTAGCTTTCTAAATAGAGCCGTTAATTTTCTCCCAGTGGTCATTGTTTCATATTGACAACACAAAATGCTAGACGGCAAAAGCATTTTCTCTCACAGTGCACAATTATAACTATTCTACATTTTTATGTTGTTATATACATTCTAATTGAGTTTAATGATCTTTGAACTACTAGTTCCATGATGAAAATTTTGAATTAAAAACTTATGCATGAAGGAAAGTATAAAAGTATTGCTTACATGCCATCCAACTTGAATCGTATTCAAACTTGATTTTGAGCCATCACCAGTATGATGAACCCAAATTATCGTAGCACTCAACTGGCCAGTTTTGAGGTCGTGGCCATACACGTCCGTGATGGCTTGTAATCCATAGTAATTATCATTAGGGCCCCCAACAGAAGTTTGGTGTGCAATTATCTGCAAGTTAATAACAATCAGAGAAATAAATGAACTAGGAGTATATCATAGACTAAGATTGTATTAGTATTAGTTAAAAGATGAAACCAGCAACAATTTCAAGTTATTTCAAGACAGCTCTTTGTTGTCAGGAAAAATGTTTTTCTATGAAAAGAAAAAAGGTGGAAGTAAGGCATTGACAATGACGTGCATCCATAGCACAACGACTGCCATAAGTTTCACCCACTCCCCCGGAACCTTGAAGTGAACGGTTAGAGCGTACCTACTGAAAGTTGCTACTTGTGTAAGCAGATATGAACAGTGGTAGAACAAGTTCACTTGCTAATTTTTTTTCCAAAAAGATAATAAAAGATTGTGCTGCACATCTTCTGTAACTTAAGTGCACTCTTTTTTTTTCACGGTGCACTGCTACTATTACTTTTTACAAAGGTTTGCACACACAACCTGCTGCAAGCATAATGTCAAAATGATTTCGCACCTTCTATGTTTCTCAGATTTTTCTTAGCAATATTTCAAGTGACTCTTTAGAGTTAACAGAGACCCAAACTCTTATTTAAAACGATAACCAGATTGCTTGAAAATAAACACCCAGTCTTTTCACAGTTTCTTCAATCTATTTCTACAAGAAATTCTAGTAAACACAAGAAGTATTCCAATGCATGAAATTAACAGTCAAAGTACGTACAAAGATATAAATGTAAAGTTACAAGTATGGAAGTTAATATTCTGCAGATCAAGACCTGCATTTATTTCATTATCTGAAAGAGAATCTGAATTACAATTGAAAATAGCCAAGCCATGATAACTTGTTAGTATCTCATTCAAAATGATACTTGCTAGTTGTTTGAGATTAACAATACTGTCATCATACTTGGACCTTTCACTTAAGGGTCCGCTTGGAAAACAAAACATTATGTTGGCCAGTTTTAAGTGCTGCAAGTAAGTAAAAGGGTAAACGGGATTGACGTTTATATGATGAAATGAAAATCTAGAAGCGCAACTCACATATGTAACTTCTTCTGGGCCTGGTCCTTCCAGAGGATGTGCTGTCCCGTGGGAGTTTGGTTTCAAGCTTGTCAGATTTTGTTTGATTGGAGCATATGGCAAACCTTTCACTAATGGATCGTTTACCTTGAAGCAAAAATGGTAAGCAGGTCTTTAGTAGGGTAGTAGTCCAAAAGTAGCGGCGGATTAAAATAGAACCAATAACTAGCAAAACTGTTCTGGTGAGTAGGAGACTAGCAAAAACTCTAGTAGTAACTACTGCTAAGAGTGTATGCCACAACACTACTTTTGTTAATTGAGATAGACAAACGACCAATCCTTCCATGAAATCAAGGGGTAGGCCGGAGAAAGGAAGCACCACAGGGAATACCGTGGGCGGCTTCCCTTCAAATTTTTTTACTGTGGGCGGCTAGCAAGCAACCACTGGCACTAGCTGCCGTGACTACACGGGGCAGCAGATCTGGTGAAGACCGGGAGGGTGCATCGGTGCTTATTTATAGAAGAAGACATACGCATAAATAGACATCAGTGCTATAGAGATAAGCAAATGATGTTTAAGAAAAAATATTTTATTTTATTAAGCACCTTGCATGTACATGGATTAACACATCAAACAAGCTGCGCCTCGATAAGTCGAGTTGCCGCCGCCAACCATAAGGATCAATTTTTCATATATACATATACATATATATCAATTTCCTGGTCACTTCCTAGCGGTCTTTCTGCCAAATTGCGGACTAGTCGAAGCCACACTTGTTTTCCTTTTGATTTTTCTAAAGAAACACACCTTGGCATAATCAGATTTATGATATTACAGAAATCTTAGACGACACTTTGATATACTACTACAAAGAATGCACCATGTTGTAATTCTGCACTACAACACTAACCTCTTGGATAGTAGGCCTCAGCCTTGATCCGAAGCCTTGATGTGCAAGAAGAAAGATGCAAAGAGCAATTGTCGGCAACATTAGACTAGTTACTCTAAACATTTCGAAAATATGAAGACGATGGAGAGTACAACATGCTTGGAGAAATGTCATTATATAGAGATGGTGGGTACGACTCAAGGATACACATAGAAAGGGCCCCCAAAAGGAGGCTCTAATTGTGGTGAGAAAATTATGAATTCATGATCCTTTCCGCAAATAAATAGTAAAGTAGTGTATCAATCCTTATTTAATGTCATTACAACTGTACAAAATCAACTGGCCAGGCGTGGCTATGTACAGGATATAATTACCAACTAAAAAAACAATTGAAATAATTCCTGCAAATAAATGCAATATATGCAATTGATCACCAATCACCAAGACGAGAAGGTGAATCATCACAATATGGATGGTGGGTTTTATTTATGAGTAAAATATAGATGGTGGATATTCTGTTTTTTTTACTTGAGAATGGTGGATGTTACGTGTTATTGTATCCTCCATTGGATATTATTATGTTACGAAGCTTCCAAATATTCTTTTTTTTAAAAGGCATACGCCTGACTTTATAAATAAAGCCATAAGGCACGTAGCAAACACACAAGGGTTCGAAACACACAATCAGCCACACCCCAACCATGGGTCATACGAGGAAAGTTAAAATAAGGGTACATGGCTCCCTAGCCATTACACGACACGCAAGCCGGAAGTTCGCTGCCCAAAAGAAACTAGCAACGACGCGCAATCGAACTAAGCATCATGCTCTTGTCTGCATAAATTAGACGCCGAGGCCCGAGCTTTGGAGATCAGCCCAGAAAGCGCATTCTGGTCGTCCACCTTAGTCAATAATTTCCACTGATGCAAGAGAGCACATGATTTAAATAAGCAATTAGCAGGTTTAGCTGGAAACACATGCTCAATAGTAAATTTGTTCCTAGTCGTCTAGAGGGACCAACACAAAGCTCCGAGGCCCACCCAAAAGATACGTCTGGTGACTCCTGATAAATTACTAGCCAGAGCCCGAAGCTCAGAGAACGACACATGATCCCAGGAAACATGAAGCCATTCTCTAACGCAACTCCAGATGAGCTTAGCCAAGACACAGTGGAAGAAGATATGAGTCGTATCCTCCAAGTCGCCACATAGAGCACAAAACTGAGAGCCCGTGCCATTTCTCTTACGAATTTGGTCAGCCGAAGGCAGCCGACCCCTAAAAGCTTGCCATAAGAAAATCTTAACTTTAGGAGGGATCCGTGCCTTCCAGATTTGAGAGAAACGGTTAGTAGGAGTGCCACCAATAAGCTTAGAATATAGCGATTTAACAGAAAAACGCCCAGAAGCAGTATGCGGCCAAATCACCGAGTCCCGATCCACCGAGAGCGTGGGGAAGAAGGCAGTAAGTCGTTGCCAATCTTCAAACTCTTCAGGCGACAAGGAACGGCGAAAGGCCAGGTTCCATCCATGGACAGCCAACTCCGCAATAGAGATACCCGGGTCAGGGCAATAAGAGAATAAGGTGGGGAAGGTCACAGAGAGCGGTGAATCTCCACACCACCAATCAAGCCAAAATCTAATTGAGGAGCCATCCCCCACAACAAACTTAACATGAGCCTGGAAAAGAGGTCTCACTTTCACCAAGGCCTTCCAATACTGAGAACCACCATGAGAGTTAGCAAACATCGGGTTAGAGAGAGGAAAGTATTTTGCCTTAAGTAAGGAGAGCCAAAAAGGAAGATCCCCACTACTCATAATTTTCCACCACCATTTAATCATAAGACATTGGTTCATGATGGAAGTATTAATGATACCCAACCCTCCAAGGTTTTTGGGTCTACACATCAGCTTCCACTTAACGAAACGATATTTGCGACGATTATCAGCAGCGTTCCAATAGAAAGCCCCACGGTGTTTATCAAACCCAGCATGTGTACCTCCCGAGAGTAGGTAAAAGCTCATCAAGAACATGGGAAGGGAGGATACACATGCATTGATCAAAGCAACTTTACCCACGTTGGTATTATACCTCCCGCGCTAGGGCAGGACCCTATTACCCACCTTGGTAACCACCGGGGCAAACTCCTTTGCATGAAGCACGTCTGGGGATATGGGGAGGCCCAAATACTTGAAAGGAAAGGATCCTAGCTTACAGTTAAGAAGACGAGCCACCCGCACAACTTCACTGTCATCCACACCAGTGACAATAACCTCACTCTTCGCAAAATTGATCTTAAGACCCGACATGGCTTCGAAGGAGAGGAGGATGAATTTAAGATTAGCGAGGCAGGAGTCACTCAACTCGACCATAATAATAGTACCATCTGCATATTGAAGATGAGTAACCCCTCCAGGGATAAGATGAGAGATGACCGGAGAGATATGCCCATGGCTAGCTGCTCTGGAGAGGATACGAGATAGGGCGTCCGCCACAAAATTAAACAAGATGGGAGAGGCAGGATCACCTTGCCTTAGGCCCCTACCATTGGCAAAATACTTACTAACCTGGCCATTCACTGAAATTGTAGTGTGGCCTCCCGAGACCAACTGCATGATTCTGTGGACAAAGGACCCATCAAACCCTTTGGCCAGCAAAACCCTTCTCAAAAAAGGCCAGCTCACCGAATCGTACGCCTTCTCAAAATCAAGCTTAAGGATCACCGCTTTAGATTTACGAATTTTGAGGTCGTGCACAATTTCATGTAAGCACAGGATCCCGTCCAAAATGAATCGACCTTTAATAAAGGCAGATTGAAAGGGACTAATGGTACGATGAGCAATGGGGGAGAGGCGCCTAGCGAACCCTTTAGCAGGAAACTTAGCGAAGTTGTTTATGAGAGCAATCGGTCGGAACTGCGAGATCAGCTCAACTCCTTTGACTTTGGGAATGAGAGTAATAATAGCATAATTAAGACGAGAGATGTCCACCGTCCCCAGACAAAAACCTTGGATGATCTTATAGACGAGCTCCCGCAACTGCGGCCAGAACTTAAAAAAAGGGATAGAGAAACCATCAGGCCCCGAGGCAGCGTTCGAGTTGGCCGAGCTAATCACCTTCCAACTCTCCTCATCAGATAGGGGGACCATTAAGTCTGCATTTTCACCAGAAGATATCCTACTATCAGCATCCCAAAAATCAGAGGAAAAGGTGAGGCTAGAGTCTTGTTTGGGCCCTAAAAGAGAGGAGAAAAATCCAACAATGTGGTCCATAATGAGAGATTGATCCGTAGTCCTGACACTATTTTAAGTGCATCTAGTGCCCCTTAGTGATTTTGGTGTATTGAAGACTTATAGGTTAAGGGACTAATGTGTTTATGAGTGTACACAGGTCCATAAGTCTATGAGGAGTGTGATATTTACAGAGAAAGTCGACCCCTAAAAATGAAGTTCTTCGACTAAATACTTTGGATTTCCGAAGACTTTCTAAATACTTTGAAAGTGAAGAAATTGGTGTGATCCTGAAGACGTGGTATTCATTCGAGGAACATGAAGCGTGAAGACTTTTGTTTTCGTAGTTTCATTTTCTCTTTCTTGAGTCATAGGAAACACCGTATTGTTAAAGGGGGTCGAGGAAATACTAAGGAAAAATTTCCATGTGATTCTCAACTCAAAATCCTACACCTACCAATCCGTTCGAGTGAAGCCATTGGAAATCTCATACAGTTCAGTCATATTCTTCAGTGATAGAGACGAAGTTCTTCTGGTCTCTGAGGAATTTGTTCTGACTGAGGAGTTAGGAATTCGGCAGTGCGGATCTCGCCTACACGGTGAGGAACATGATAGCCCTGAGGATTTTACTACCCAAAATTCCGCCCGTTGCTGTGCTATGCGCCAGCTGTCCCAAAATATCTACCCACCTAACGGTCATATCATTGAAAGGAATTTATGTCTTATCATGTCGGGCTGCTCCCTAGGCTATAAATAGTCGCCCCCTACAACCACTAGCTGGTTGGCTGCTCCGAGAGAAACTGACACTCGTCATTTGAGAGCATCCCATCCTCCGAGGACTTTGAGTGAAAATCATCAAGTGAGGAAAACCCAAACCCAAACACCTACAAACCCCAAGTGATTGAGCATAACTGAAGAGATTGATCCTGCGTGGATCCGACGCTTGTTACCTTTGAAGACTGTGCATCTTCCAGACGGTTAGGCGTCATGGTCTAGAGCATCCAAGAGGAAATTACGGATCACCGAGTGACCAAGTCTGTGAAGGTTTGGAAGTCACCTGAAGACCACAAGTGATTGGGCGAGGTCTGTGTGACCTTAACTCAAGGGGAATACGGTGAGGACTGAGTGTTCTGGACTACGTGTTCAGAACTGGGTTTCCGGGACTGTGTTCCTCAGGTTTAAATACCTAGCCGCCCTAACCAGACGTACAACTGTCATAGCAGTTGGAACTGGTCTACCAAATCATTGTCTTCACCAAGCCACATGGTTCCATTTCCTCAACCCTTCCATTTTCTCATTTATGTGTTGAGTGCTTGTTCATATTTGTTTGAAGACTTCCTCTATTTCCTCAGTTCAATTTCTTCAGTCTGTTTGTCTTATCCTGTGTTATCCCGTGTTTACGCTTTCTGTACTCTGTACTTGTTTTCATTTCATCATGAAGACCATGCTCATGCACTATTATGTTTAATTCTAAGTACTTATTCCGTTGCAAGTAGTTCTTCACTTAGGAATTTCCTCACCCTGAAATTCCTCAGTGAAGATTTCATAAAAATCGCCTATTCACCCCCCTCTAGTCGATATAACGCACTTCCAATTGATATCAGAGCAAGGTACTCCCTTGTTCTATGTGATTTTGGTTTAACCACCTGGAGTTTTAGTTATGTCGACCGCAGGTATGATCAAGGTTTCAGCTGGGTGTCCTACCTTTGATGGGACGGACTACCCCTACTGGAAGAATAAGATGCGCATGCATCTTGAGGCAATTGATAACGACCTCTAGTACGTTGTGGAGAATGGTGTTCCCTCTGTCACTCCCACTGAGGGAGTCCTGGATTAGGGGGTATCCGGACAGCTGAATTATATCCTTTAGCCGGACTGTTGGACCATGAAGATACAAGATTGAAGACTTCGTCTCGTGTCCGGATGGGACTCTACTTGGCGTGGAAGGC